TTTTGATGTAGGAGTTTAGGGCTATAAACTTTCCTCTTGCTCCATCTTGGCTGTATTTCAGAGGTTTTGAGAGGTTGTGTCATTATTGTCATTCAGTTCAGAGAATTTTTTAATTTCAATCTTGATTTCCATTTTGACTTAAAACACTGTTAGAACTTATAAATGAATGCAGTGAAGTAGCAAAATACAAAATCAACATACAAAAATAAGTAATGTTTGTGTACACTAACAATGAGCTATCCAAAAATAAGAAAACAATCTAATTTACAATAGCATCAAGCATAATAAATGCTTAGGAATAAATTTAACAAAAGAGAGAAAATGTATACACTGATAAGTACAAAACATTGATGAAAGAACATGTGGAAAATACAAATAAATGTAAATCTACCTTATGTTCATCAATTGGAAGAAATAAAATGTCTATGTCATTCAAGCAATCTACAAATTCAACATTGGCTTTTGCATAAAAGTTTGGGCTAAGTCCTCAAAAACAATTGCAACAAAAATAAAAATTGACACATGGGACCTAATTAAACTACAGAATTTCTGCACAGCAAAAGAAACTATCAACAGAGTACATAGGCAACCAAGAGAATGTGAAAAAATATTCACAAAGTATACATCCAACAAAGGTCTAATATTCAGAATCTATAAGAAATTTAACAAATTAACAATCAGAAAACAAATAACCTTATTTTTAAAAGTGTGCAAAGGACATGAACAGACACTTCTCAAAAGACATACAAGCATCCACCAAACATATGAAAAAAACTCATCACTAATGATCCGAGAAATGCAAATTAAAACCACAATGAGATACCATCTCACACCAGTCAGAATGACTGAAACAGTCAAATTATGAAAAAGAAAAAAAAAAAAAACAGATTCTGGCGAGGCTGCAGAGAAAATGGAATGGTTATACACCATGGGTGGGATTGTAAATCAGTTCAGCTACTGTAAAAGGCAGTTTGCAGATTTTTTTCAAAGAAGTTAAAACAGAGGTACCACTTAACCCAGAAATTCATTTATTGGGTAAATACCCAAACAAAAATAGATCATTATACCAAAAAAATACATGCACTTGTATGTTCATTACAACACTATTCACAATAGCAAAGACATAGAATCAACCTAGGTGCCCATCAACAGTGGATCCAATTTTAAAAAGTGATACATACACTTCCTGGAATACTATGCAGCCATTAAAAAGAATGAAATTGTGTCCTTTGCTGCATAATGGTTGGAATTGGAGGCCATAATTCTAAGTGAATTAATGCAGAAACAGAAAAGCAAATACTCCATATTCTTACTTGTAAGTAGGAGCTAAACATTGAGCACACATTTACATACACATGGGAACAGACTGCAGACATGAGAAGGCATGGGTTGAAAAACTACCTACTGGGTACTATAGTCACTACCTAAGTGGAATATGCCCATGTACCAAACCTGCATGTGTACTCCCTGTATCTAAAATAAAAGTTGAAACTAAAAAAAAAAAAAAAAGCAAGAATTCTTATCAAAATTTAAATGACATTTTTCCAGAAGTAGAAAAAAAAAAAATCCTAAAGTTAGTATGGACCCAAAAAAGATTTCAAATAGTCAATGCAATCTTGAACAAAAAGAACATACTATCTCATTTCAAAACCTACTTCAATGCTTTCATAATCGAAACAGCATGGTAGTAGAATATAAGCAGACACATATATTAATAGAGGAAAGGATACAGAAATAAATCCACCCATTTACAGTCAACTTGTTTTCTAAGATAGCAAGAGCACACAATGGGGAATATAGATTGTCTTCAACAAATTTTGCTGGGAAAATGGAATATCCACATGAAGAAGAATGACATTATATTCTCATCTCACACTCTATGCAAAAACTCACTTAAAATGAATTAAAGAGTTAAATATAAGACTTGAAATTGCAAAATTACTAAAAAAAAATACAGAAAAAATGTATCATGGCATTTGTCTGGGCAACGATTTTTAGATATGATTCCCAAAGCATAGGCAACAAAAGCAAAAATAGACAAATAGTGTTGTATCAAACTACAAAGCTTCTGTACAGCAAAGGAAATAGTGAACAAAATGAACTTTTGGAACAGAATAATTGAAACCATACATTCAATAAATGGTAAATATCTAAAATACATAAAAAACCTCAAACAACTCAATAGTAAGATAATAATACTAATAACCCAAATTAAAATGGGCAAAGGACCTGAATAACGTTTCTTAAAAGAACACAGACAAATAGCTAATGGGTATATTTTTTAAGTGTTTCACATCACTAATCATCAGGAACATGCAAATTGAAACCACAATGAGATATCACCTCACATCTGTTAAAATGACTATTATAAAAAAGTTGAAAGATAACAAGTGTTGGAGAAGATGTAGAGAAAGGGGTACTCTACACAGTTTGCAGTAACATTATTTAGTGCAGCCATCATGGAAAACAGTATAGAGTTTCATCAAAAAATTAAAAATTGAACTATCATGTAATCCAGCAATCCATTAATGGGTACATATCCAAATGGCATGTATCAGTACTTCAAGGAGATGTCTGCACTTTCATAAGAACACATTGCTGGTGGAAATGTAAAAGTGTAGTCATTTTGGAAAACAATGTGGAATCGATGAAAGTCTTACTCATAAAAAAGAGAGAGTGAAATAATGATTACCAGAGGCTGCAAAGTTGGGAGACTGGGTCAAAGTTGGTCAAAGGAAAGAAAATACCAGTTACTAGAAAGAATTTCAAGAGATCTATTGTGCTTCATATTTCTTTTTTTTTTTTTTTTTTTTGAGACAGTCTCATTCATTGCCCAGGCCAGAGCTCAGTGGCATGGTCTCGGCTCACCACAACCTCCACCTCCTGGATTCAAGAGATTCTTCTGCCTCAGCCTCCCAAGTAGCTGGGACTACAAGCGCCCGCCACCATACCTGGCTAAATTTTTTTGTATTTTTAGAAGAGATGGGGTTTCACTATGTTAGCCAGGATGGTCTCGATCTCCTGATCTTGTGATCTGCCCGCCTCAGCCTCCCAAAGTGCTGGGATTACAGGCGTGAACCACCTCACCCAGTGATTCAAATTTCTTTAACGTGTATGTTAAATAGTTTTGTTTAGCCTTTTTACAATGTACACATATATCAAAACATGTTGTATACCATAAATATATACATTTTTACTTATCAATAAACAAAATATAAAACTACATCTTATACAATTTTAAGTAATGAAGTTGGTATATAATCCCTGATACAGTGCAATGAGAAAAAAGGCCCTTCATACTGTGATATTCTTCCCTCTCCTAAAAAAATTCCAAGCTAATTATAAGAAAGACACAATTGTGAAACCCTGTCTCTACTAAAAAATACAAAAAACTAGCCGGGCGAGGTGGTGGGCGCTTGTAGTCCCAGCTACTTGGGAGGCTGAGCCAGGAGAATGGCGTGAACCCGGGAGGCGGAGCTTGCAGTGAGCTGAGATCTGGCCACTGCACTCCAGCCTGGGTGACAGAGCTAGACTCTGTCTCAAAAAAAAAAAAAGAAAGACACAATTAAATTGGTGGATATTCTACAAATAGCTGACTACACTTGTCAAAACTGTCAAAGTCAAGAAAATAGGAAAATATTGAAAAACTGTCTTAGAATGAAGAAAACTCAGAAAGTATAAGGAATAAATTTTAAAAAGGATCTTGATTGGAGCCCTGAGCCATAAGAGAACATTAGAAAGAAAACCACTAAAATCTAAATAAAGTCTGTAGTTTAGTTAGTAGCAGTATGTTGATGTTAATTTCTTCGTCTTGAGAGATGTACCACAGTTATGGAAGAGGTTAACATAGGAAATCTGGTTGAAGAGAATTCCTTACTCTCTTTGCAACTCATTTTGACCACAGCAAAGGTCTACAGCTGCCAGGGCTGGGTGTTTTTTCTCCAAGAGCTTGTCAATCTTAATTCACAGAATAGAAATGAATTAGTAATTTGTGTAATGAATGCATTCATTCTCTAATTTCTATCATTTTGCATGAATTGAATTTGCATTGCCAGATCAAAATGTTCCATTTTAGAGTAAAATAGTTTACAAATGGAGTTTGTCCCCAAATCACTTTAAACCCTTCAGTCCATGAATAGTAATCCTGGCTGTGATAAGTTATTACCCAAACACTCTACTGTCTAGGAATGAGTGCCATTTTCCTTTAGAAAATAAGGTGGTGCCATTAACTAACTTCCCCATGGCCTTGTAGGTGGTATATTCCCAGAGCATCATGGATTATAATTTTACTTGGCTTAATAAAATTTACAGAAATATGTCCTTTCACCTATGTCAGACATGTCCCAAAATCTTTCACTCAGAGAGATGGCCTGTCTTCCACACACTGTCCTTTAATGTAATGTCAAACATTTCATAATACATAGAATGTATATGTTCACCAATATGTAACTATGAACAAATAATGTATGTCCAGGTATGAACAATAAATGGGGTAGTTACATACTTTACAAATTTAATATAATCGCTTAGAAAAATTAGAGTGAATTGCCTCTGTCCTGACACTATCCACAGACCATCACATCATGGGTGGCCACTCTGTGTTTTATCTGTAACAACAACCACAACAAGCCACTGCAAGTTGTGTTGCTTCTATTTTGGAAGTAGTCTCACATTCCAGGTACCATACATACATAGATCCCCTGTCCATCAGGGGACATGAAATTTAAACTTTAGCTTGGGGTGTAGCTCCCATAGTAGGGGTGGCAGGGCCACAAACACCACACTGGAAAAGCACAATAAAAAGACTTCTTACCTTCAAGTGGCTTCAGAGTCATAAAATGTATTTTTAACAACCTCATTCAATTACATAATCAGAAGTCCTGGGAAGCTCAGTCATTTACAAAACAATGTATTATTCTTAAGTAATTTTATATTTACAGAAATTATTTAAATCAACAAAGGAAAAAGAAATCAAAAACAAAAACAAACCTGAACTAAACCAGCAACAGCAGTCTTGGGGATGATCAGAACTCAGAGTTGCTATATTATCTCAAATGTCCAGCTCCCACCCTAAAAATTATGAAACATGCAAACAAATGAGCGTGAGGCCTATACATGGGAAGGAAAAATAGTCAATCAAAGGGAGGAGTGGGGGGAATTTGATGGGATCCCACCTTGCTGGAGAAAGATGAGCAAAGAATGGTTTTATCTGGCCCCACCAGTTTGTTTCCTGGAGAGAATGTTTATAGTTTTTTCTCTCTTTCCAATTTACCTGCAGTTTGGCCATTGATATTTCCAGTCACCCCATGCAGGATTTTAACTGCACCACACACATATTATGTAAATATTTAATCACTTCAGGAAATTGCGTCTCTGCAAAGGTCCATTATTAGTAGGTGAGCCCATCCCCACTTTAAGCGTGAAGGGAAAGGTTGTAAGTGATTTGCCAAAGTGAGATAGCTAGAAAGCAGCACAACCATGCTCACTGCTGACCTCAAACTCAAGCATCTACCTGTCCACAAAACATCTGCCCTCAGAGCTCAAACACTGCAAATGCCAAGGTTCTGTTTCTGAGCTCCTAACTCTTCACTCCTCTCCCCATTCTCATCCCCAGTATTGCTTTTTCTGAACCTTCCTGGTCTCCACCCTTTGCCCAGTTTCTCAGGACAAACCCTCATGTGATTCTTACATCATCCCTTCAACAGCCTCATCCACTGAAGGAAGAAACCTGGCAAATCTACCTTCAAAATACATCCTGAGGCCAGTGTCTCCTCATGGCCTCCATCACTTACTCTAAGCAACCACCTTCTCTCACATGAAACACTAAAAACAACCCCACACCATTAGATGCTTGAGGTCTGACCCTTTGACCTCCACTAGCTTCTATTCATCAAAGGCTTTCCAAAACCTAAATTAGGTTATGCCCTTCCTTCTGTGGTTTCTGCCACACTTCAAATACATTCTGAAGCAAAAGCCATGCTTGCTCTATGTGACGTGATCCCTAGTTATATCTAGGCCTTTATTACCCACTATTGTCCCGTTGCTCACTGTGCTCCAACACATAAGCTAAAAACTTGTCACTGCGGATGGCAGGCTTCTTTTATTTTCACAGTCTTAGCATTTTCTGCTCCCTCCAGCTAAGACATTCTTCTCACACAGATCCACTGGGTCCCTCCCTTACATGATTTTGTGCTCTGATTAACTGTCAGATCTTCAGGGAGGCCTTCCCTGCAACTCACCTAAAGCACTCCCCTTTTTATTTATAATTCTTTATTTCTCTTCATACTGCAAAGCACCACCTGGCAAAATGTCACCTTTTTATTTCTGCACTATGTTTTGCATGTCTTCCCATTTAATGAACACTCATGGTGAGCAGGATCTTCGTCCCTTTTGTCCTCTGCTATAGACCTGGTGCTCAAGTGTGGATAACAGTTGCTGAAGAAGCCCAAGATCTTCATATGTGTTATGGTTGTTGAGTTAATAAATGAAAAATAAAGTGAGCAAACAAAGAGAATTGGACCACAGACAAAAGCCCACGGGCATGCAACCTCATGGTAATCTCCGAATTATTCATTTTGTAAAAGAGCTATACTTCTTACATTATTGTCACATTATGACCTCCCTTGTAGTCTTTTGATTTGAGACGGAGTCTTGCTCTGTCACCCAGGCTGGAGTGCAGTGGCATGATCTTGGCTCTCTGCAACCTCTGCCTCCTGGGTTCACGCCATTCTCCTGCCTCAGTCTCCTGAGTAGCTGGGACTACAGGCACCCGCCACCATGCCCGGCTAATTTTTTATATTTTTAGTAGAGATGGGGTTTCACCGTGTTAGCCAGGATGGTCTCGATCTCCTGACTTTGTGATCTGCCCACCTTGGCCTCCTAGAGTGCTGGGATTACAGGCATGAGCCACCGCACCCGGCCTTAGTCTTTTGATTTTGATTTATGAATTCCTATTGTTCAAAGGGAGGCATCTAAGTTGTGCAGCATCTAAACTGAAGTTAAGGTATCAGGCACATTGTGATCAAGCCAGGGGCCTTCGGTTGCACATGGAGGTGTAGCTAGTGTTGTTGTTTGGGCTCCAAAAGGAAAAGTAAGTGATAAGGAGGGAAGGTGTGGATCCCAATCCGACTTTATGCATTTTCCAGCTTTGTGACTTTGAGCAAATGATTCAAGACTCTGTACTTCATTTGTAAAAAAAGATGGTGATAAAATGCTCACCTTACAGCTGATTACGAGAGTCAAATTGTAGTTCATTGGACTAGTCTACCATTTAGCTTTCATTAAAGATTCCTGCCATTGCAATTATTCAGGAGAAGAGGAATCTCAAGAAAGATCACCAGATTCACCTTTCCTTTATTTACTTTTTTTTTTTTTTTTTGGAGACAGAATTTTGCTCTGTTGCCCAGGATGGAGTGTAATGTCATGATCTTAGCTCACTGCAAACTCTGCCCCCAGGCTCAAGTGATTCTCATGCCTCAGCCTCCCTAATAGCTGGGACTACAGGCACACACCACCATGCCCAGTTAATTTTTGTATTTCAGTAGAGATGGGCTTTTGCCATGTTGGCCAGGCTGGTCTTGAACTCCTGGCCTCAAGTGATTCACCAGCTTTGGCCTCCCAAAGTGCTGGGATTACAGGCATGAGCCATCGTGCCCCACCACACAGAAATTTTTTATGTAGAAAATCCTAATGATTGTACACACAGGGAAAAAAAAAAGGGTTGGAACTAATAAATTAAGCAAACATACAAGACACAAAACCAACATGCAATAATCAATCGCATTTTTATACAGTAACAGTAAATAATCTGAAAAACATTAATGAAACAATGCCATGAATAATAGCATAGAAAAGAATAAAATACTTAGGAATTAATTAAAAAGGCCAAAAAAGTACATGTAAAACTACAAATTGTTGCTCAAAGAAATTTAAAGATATACAAATAAGTGGATGCACATCTTGTGTTCATGAGTTGGAAGACTTAATGTTGTTAAAATGTTGATACTACTCAAAATTATCTACAAATTTAATGCAATCCCTACCAAAATCCCAATGACATTTATTTTCACAGAAATAGAAAGCACCCTCCTACAATTCAAATGGAATATCAAGAAATTTCAAATAGCCAAAACAATTAAAAAAGAAAAACTAATTTGCAAGTCTCACTTTTCCCGATTTCAAAAGTTACTCTAAGTTATAGTCATCAAAACAGTGTGATACTGGCATAAAGGCAAACATACACACCAATGGAACAAAATAGTGAGCCCAAAAATATATCCTCACATATATAATAAAATGATTTTCAGCAAGGTGCCAAAATTACTCAATGGGGAAAGAAAGTCTTTGCAAAAATGGTGCTGGGAAAACTAAGTATTCAACATGTAGAAGTATGAAGTTAGACCCCATGTACAAATGAAATCAAAATGAATCGAAGAGCTAAACCTAAACAACTCTTAGAAGAAAATATAGAGCAAATGCTTCAAAACACTGAATTACACAATGGTTTATGGAATACAACAAAATGAGCATGGCCAACAGAACAAAAAGACATTCGATTTCAACAAATCAAACATGTGTTTCCCTTGGGAAACACTGTAAATAGACTAAAAAGGCAACACACAGAATTGTAGAAAATATTCACAAGTCATATACTTGGCATGGTATTGATATCAAGAATTTACAAAGAAAAAGAGATCTTCCTCAAGAGGCTATAGGGCATCTAAAATCCCAATAGCTAACATGCTAACATCATACTTTATGATAAAAGACTGAATGCTTTCTCTCTAAGATCACTGACAAAACAAATATCATGCTCTCACCACTTCTATTCAACAAGGGAAGGGAGGTGCTACCAGAGAAATCAGGATAGGAAGTAAAGTACTCCAGGTTTTAAAAGGTCATACACACATAGCTCCCAGGAAAGATACAAAATCACAGACTTTTTCACTGCACATATAGGTGAGTGCAGCCAGACACAAACACACAAGCTCATTAATCCTCAGAGATGGTCATCCAAGGACACCAACAAATACTCAGATAGACACACACACACAACTCAGGCCTCCGTTCCCTTCAGCCCTGGCATCTCACTTTTTAATAATAACCACCATCTGTGTTTTTTACTTACATCTCTCATTTGTTGTTTCCTAGTATATCAGGTTTAGGTAGACAGAATCTTTGCTGTGTTGTATTTACAGCAGAACCTACTAGAAGAACTGTTAAACAGAAGAAAGTTTATACTTAATGAATCACTGGGCGTATGTGCGCACGCGTGCACACACACACACACTAGTTTTACATAAATCTTATCCACTTTCACTTGATTTCTCACATAGTAGATTGTTCTTTACCCCATACTATGTAGCAGACAGCTGCCTCCTGCACCCCAAACTAGTTCCCAAAGGTTAATTTACCAATGAGTTGAAAATGAAAACTTGCACAGAGATGTTTGCAGTAGTACTCATAATTTTTAAAATTTGCCAGCAACTAAGATGAAGATGTGGTCACCAAGGCTAGAAATACAAAACAAATGCACAAACATGAATTCTACTTCTATAAACTTGCAATAAGACATCTTATAAAGACATTTAAGGAAAAAATCCATTTACAATAGCACCCAAAAAATAAATATGTAGGAATAAATTTAACAAAAGAGGTTCAAAACTTACACTCTAAAAACTATAAACCTTGTTGAAAGAAGCAACAAATCTAAATCAATGGAAAACCATCCCATGCTAATGGATCAGTAGGCTTAATATTATTTAGATGACAATAACTGCCCCCAGAAATTTTCAGATTTAATACACTCACTATCAGAATGCAGGTACCTTGTAGAAATTCAAAATTGATCCTGAAATTTAAGTGGAATTACAAACACAAACAATCTCAAAAGGCAGCAAAGTACAAAGACTCAAACTACCATTTTAAAACTTGCATCAAAGCAGCAGTAATTAAACTAGTGTAGTAATGGCACAAGGACCGTCATTTAGATTAATGAAATATGGCAGAGAGCCCAGGGAGCATAAGGTCAGCAAAATGACAGAGTGAGACCCTCCAAATAGTTGTTCCTG